ATTAAACTAATACTGACATTATCTGAATAATAACATCAGACTGCAGATTTTTTTTATAATAATCCAATAACAAGCAGTGTTTTGACGTGTAAATTAATCGGTTAAAATTATACAAGAATTGTTCAAAGCCAATTCGAGTTATTGAAGTTTATGGGATTTAAATAACTTCGTATGGACTGTATATGTTATTATTATTATTATTATTATTATTACTATTATTATTATTATAAACGAGTTATTCCGTCATTACACTTGTTTGAATAAAAATAACTTATTTTCTAACAGTGAAATAAATATTAACTTAAACCGTAATATCTTATAAGCGGCCATGCTGCCGGATATAGTTTATCGTCATACCGAGGACGGTTTGCGCATTGTTTCCGGTATTATCTAGTATAATACTAAGTTGCCAATCATTTTTGTATGGCGTGGTGCCCATCTGTATAAATATCTTTTTTGCTGAAAATTTGTTCTTTTGAAGAAATGTGGAAAAAAAGATTATTATTTCTTAAGTGAAAGATTACTTTGAGAAAATCTTAGCCAACTCTTATTGAATCATGGTTATGCAAATAATCTTATTCAATCGTCGCAGGTCTTCAGCATCGTGAATAGGATCTATTCTCCGATTTCGTCGATAGAAGAGAAGGAAATAAAAATGAATTGAACTATGGAAGTATTCGATTTTGAGTGATGCACTGACGAACAAGGGTTAAATGCTACTCCGTAAAACATCTTGCAAAACGTTGTGCTGGTTAATGTTCACACGTTCGTATTAATGCATAAAACAAACACGGACCTTTCATTATTTAACATGATATTATATTTCATTCCAATATTTCGTTGAATTCTGTTGACCATAGGGTATGAGAAACCGCGGGCATCGACATATATGTGGTCTTTGCAATCTCGGCTGTGCTGTATGAGAGACTGCCCAACACCTCTCTGGAACGGTTGTTTATATATTTTTATCTTATACTTGTCGTTAACACGATTGCAAATCTGGGTGAAGATGTAAGGTCACGTAACTTTACCGGATGTAAGCGCACGTCAACATGCACATTGCTTTCTCTGATCTGGTGCAAAATTGAGTGCAGATAACTTTTTAGTATAATAATACATAATTAACTAATATTTAATTATCAAACAGCAAAAATAGTAGCTCTGGAAACATGTCATTTTCAATGTATTTTTCATTAGTCATTTTTTGTTTTGTTTTTTGTTGTTATTGTTTTGCTTTTTTGCTGTTTTGGGGGAGGCGTTGAACAGTTGTTAAGGTTTTCAATTTAGTTTTTTCCTTCTCCTAAGCTGGTTGACAACAACAACTGGACAACACTGTCTTTCTATTTCACCCAGCAGTGCGAGAAGAGATGGATTCATACACTATTTACATTATTCGGACTATTGTCCTCATCTTTGTCGCCATATTCATTACAACGTTTCGGCCGTTGTACGCTCCGGCCTTCTTCACGTGGTTGGAATGTCGAACTTAACCCCTTATTTCGCTCACTGGAGAGGAGAATTAACAGGAGATAACTGATAACTGACATCCATGAGATGACATATTATGTACACTATTTATATTATTCGGACTATTGACCTCAGCCTTGTCCCCATATGTATTACAATGTTTCGGCAGCTGTACGCTCCAGCTTTCTTCAGGTGGTTTGAATGTCGAGCTGAACCCTTTATCTTGCTCACTGGGGTAGACTGTTCTAGTTCCACGTGCCATGTTTTAATGGATGTAAGTTATCATTTATCTCCTGTTAATTTCCCTTTCCAGCTTATAATTATGTGGGGCATTTACAAATTGTGCTGTTAGGAAACTTGTTTTGCTGTGAAATATTGGACATTTTTTCACACTAGAATCTGCCTTATAGACTTGCACTGAATATTAATATTATTGATCCATGTCAATGGATCAAACCAACGCGTTTTTTCCACTGTGAAAAGAACCCAACGGTTTGTGAGTTCAATACCCGCTTAAAGCAGTGGAGAAATTAATTAACAAGAGATAACTGATAACTTACATCCATTAAAACATGGCACGTGGAACTAAAACAGTCTAACCCAGCCAGCGAAATAAAGGGTTCAGTTCGACATTCCAACCACCTGAAGAAGGCCGGAGCGTACAACGGCTGAAACGTTGTAATAAATATGTCGACGAAGATGAGGACAATAGTCCGACTAATGTAAATAGTGTACATAATATTTCATCTCAGAATTATAGACAGATACTGAAAGGCCGAATCGTTGTAATAAATATGGCGACAAAGATGAGGACAATAGTCCAAAAAATGAAAATAGTGTACATAATACTTCATCTCAGAATTATAGACAGATACTGATAGGCATTCATATATTTCGCGTGACTGAATGTAACGAACTCGATTTGATGTCTTTTACTGGATTGAATACTCAAGATATCCTGCTAAGTAAATGCTTTGTATGGCAACTTATCTACCGCAGAAAGAAATGACAACCTACTGCAGGAAAAAAAAATATGCCTTGTCAGTTATGTATCGAAAGATACATGATCGCCTAAGGGTGTATAACGCATGACACATAACTAACTGATATGTCATCACTTTTTTCCAGCGATTGCTTTACAATTCTAAATGTTCCACAGTTGTCTTTCTAGTTGAAAATCCTTTGATAACTTTTTATTTCAACACGACAACCGTCTTTGTGTAAGCAAAAGTTTTTTTTGAGAGTTAGTGACATAATCAATATGTTGACCACCCACGCTACTTCAGACAAAAGGTTAGGAAAGAAACTTCCGTCACTACGAGAATGAGCCTTAGTTTAATTGACTCGAGAAATTCGATGGAGGCTTACAACCATATCACTTTGAAACAACGGTTCTCGTCCCGACACCGAAGTTAAGCAACGTCGATCGTGGTTAGCACTTAGGGAATAGCATCTGCTCTCAGCTTGGATGTGTGTAATGGATAACGGCTCAGTACTACTGAAAATCAGAGAGCTGAGTTCTAATTACAGTCGGATTCGTTATATTCCCATACGCGCAAATATCCTTAGAAAAAGCACGAATCCACCACGTTTCATTGCAGCTATGGTTTAAATGTTAGCACTTGTATCAGTAAATCATTATTGTCTATAAATCTATTTTTGCTTTATATTCTTAAATGTTAGCACTTGTATCAGTAAATCATTATTGTCTCCAAAAAATTCTTAAAATCCAAAAATATTTTCTGGTTTTAAATAATCTGCAGCATTGATAAGCCGTAAAAACTAATTAGTTATATAACGCGACTGGTAAATAATATTATAATCAATATGATGACGTTACACCTTCCTTCAAAAAAGTTAATAAGGAAATGTAGGTAATTACTAGAAAGACTGGTGAGTTGACTTGTGAAAAACATTTTCATGAAAAAATGCTTTAAGTTGAAGATTTTATAATTTTCCACTGAAACTAATGTACACTGTTCGAACAATGAATGTCAACTGTTTCCTGTATGGAAGCCATGGACATCACAGGCAAGTGAATTAGTCTAAATTAATGTCGAAATCACAGGGTAAAAAAGCGAATTTTCCACGAAGGGATAAAAAGTCAGTGAACGGAATCAAATTAGTGAGCCGGCCGCATAAATCGAGAAGGGCGATGAAGGCCTCTTTATCATTATAACTAAAAAACGTTATATTTAATGATGGACTACATATATATATATATATATATATATATATATATATATATATATATATATATATAGAGAGAGAGAGAGAGAGACCTCTAACCAACAAGAACAATATTCCCCGGAAATGTATGTCCCATGTTATCCCATTCCTTGTCTCGTTGAAAAGAACACAGAATGCGCGTCTGAACTGGCCCCTGCCCTCTCCAAGTCAAGGAATCTTGTTTTCCTGACTGCTGGAAGTTCTCTTCGATTGTTCCTGTCTTCAAGAACTCCGGCGACCCCTCTGACCCTTCTAACTACCGTCCTATCAGTCTCCTACCCCTCTTCGGCAACGTCTTCGAACCCCTTATCAATACCGAAGTGGTTAACCACCTTACATCCCATGATCTGTTCTCAGACAAGCAATATAGCTTCCGCTTTGCCCGATCTACAGCTGATGTGCATACGGCCATCACTGAAATTGTCTACCAAGGTCTTCAAAATAACGGGGAAGCTCGTACCGTGGCCCTAGATATCTCCAAAGCGTTTGATAGGGTTTGGCATGCCGGCCTTCTTCGCAATCTCCAGGATTATGGTATTGCGGGTTAATTGTTTCACCTAATATAATCATTCCTGTCAAACCGTGAATTTAATGTCGTTCTCTCCTCCAGTTCCTATCCTACGAACGCAGCTGTTCCTCAAGGCGCCATCCTACGCCACACTGTATTCCTTATCTACATAAATGACCTTCCTGACGCCATACATTCCCAAATTGACATCTGCGCGGATGACACCACAATTTACTCCTGCCTCAAAAACAAATCTAGTGTCGCGGAAAAAAACTAACCTGGCCGTGCGTCTCGAAAAGTGGAGCAGGAATTGGCTGGTCAATTTTAATACCTCAAAAATAAAATTGCTCTTTATTAATCACCACAGAGATCCTTCCCTGCCCTCCATTAGAACTTCTGACGCTGAACTTCTCGAGAGCACCTCTCTGCGGCTGCTCGGTCTCACGTCGACTACTGACCTGAGATGGAACAAATACGCTGAGTAAATTGCTTCGTCCACCGCAAGGAAAGTTGGCTACCTGAGTAGCGCCAGAAAATTTTTCTCCCCGGAATCGATCCTTCAAATCTACAAATCAACAATTCGACATTTCTAGTTGCCTTGATCTATCCACTATCCTTCACCTTATCCTTTTCTCTATCACTTCTATCTGATCTTAATCCAAATCTTCTGTAACCCCTTCCGTCCTAGTGGTTTCCCGCCTTGCTTGGAGTGAAAAGCTTAAAAAAAAAGATGTGTTCGAAATTTCAGACTTTGAAATATTTCTCTTCGTGCTTCAATTTAGTCAAAACCAGCCTATTAAATAGATAGATAGATAGATAGATAGATAGATAGATAGATAGATAGATATTTAGGAATATTCTGCCTATTTTCGTTCTGACGGTTGTGTTGTATGGTGGGTTAAACTCAAGAATTCTAGTCACTGTGTGTGTCTGGCCCAATGTATACCATCGGATGGCCCAGGCTGATGGGGAATGGGGGATTTTATCAAGTAAACAACTCTACAAATGGTTATCAAAAAATTCAGGGGGCTACTTAATTTATTGATGCGGAACTGGAGTATATATCCCTATTTTAACAGTGTAATTTTGTTATATATATATATATATATATATATATATATATATATATATATATATATATATATATATATATATATATATATATATATATATATATATTTATATTCGAAAATTATAACGTAGTTATTTTATAAACATATTTATGTCATAATTTTCGGATAAATCATATTTGCTCTACTCTGTATTGAGCACTCTTTTAAGAATAGTATTTTTGGTTATTGGAATTTATTCCGTATACACCAATCCTAAAGTTGTATATATATATATATATATATATATATATATATATATATATGTGTGTGTGTGTGTGTGTGTGTGTGTGTGTGTGTGTGTGTGTGTGTGTGTGTGTATCCACATATATACACACATACAGACATACATACACACCCAGACAGACAGACAGACACACACACACACATATATATATATATATATATATATATATATATATATATATATATATATATATATATATATATACACTCAAAAGTATTAAGAATGTTGCTATAATAAGAAAATTGCAACACATCAATTCGGCATTTAATTTATTTTGAAGTTGTCCCCTCCTGAAGCCACACAGCGTCGTATTCATTGACGGAAGCAGTCCTGGAACTACTTTTGAGGATATCGCGCAGTTGCCTCGTCCCAATCTCTTAGATTTCTTCGAAGTCTTGAAAGCTTGTTCGTTTCAAATGGGATTTGATATTTGGAAAGAGAAAGCATTTGCAAGGATGCGAGTTCTTGGGAATATGGTGGTTGTCGAACCTGAGATGTTTTTGGACTAAAACTGCTTCACAAGCCACGGTCACTGATGCAACCTCTGTGGTGTGGCGAGACGACCACACTCAACTCATATTCCTTCCAAAAACTATTATAAAGAACACAAGTGAACAAGAACATTAATACCTAGTAGGCATGCGCGAAAGGTTTCAAGATCAATCTATGCCAAGCGGCTAGACTCCGTTACCATAACAACAGTCCTGATACTTTTTAATCACACCTCATATGACATATTTGTGTGCGCGCATACGCGTAAGTGTGTTTGTGTCTGCGTGTGCGTGTAAATTCATTCAGTAGCAATAATTCAATTAGTACAATACTATAATAATGCGTATAAATATTCAATATATGCTTTTGAGGTTGTTTTGATAGTTTTTGATTAGCGGTATATCAATACCTCTATGGGTCATTTAATGCCAGAATCTAAATATTTTGTCGGCAATTTCATAGCTTCAACTACATATATTTTGTATATAATTTTATAATTTCATGGCAAACATATTTTTTTAGGTGTATACTTTGTAAAAGATAAAATATATTGCTGGTAATTTTAATATAAAAATCTATTTTTGTAATTTAGTGAAGTATTACTTACTACTGGTCATTTTATTTAACGCTTTGCTGATCTTTTTTTACTATAATTTATTTTTATACATTCTTAGTGAACCCACAAACAAAAATCAAAACACTATTTTCCAATAACTAGGACCCGTAACAGGTGCTACAACAGCAATTTAAACGTGGCTACACGTTACCCAAAACCTGAAATCTCGCGATCAGTGCCGCCCGATATAGTTTATAGTCTGATTCTCAGGTGTGGCCTTGAGTAATTTCACAGTTACAAATTACGTCACCACCTCTGAATAATTAGAAAACTAGCATTCTCAAAATTGTCAGAATGTAGCCAATAAAATCTATTTAACCAAACTTATTGAAAAGACCCACGCATATATATATATATAGATAGATAGATAGATAGATAGATATAGATTTCCCTGACGATCCGCTTAGGTGAAACCTGGGTAGATTTGTCTGGCTCACTAGGTTTATCTAGATCTGCTCTACGGGTGTATTGAGCTCTTTTAGTTAGTTAGTTGTTTGCTCGTGTCGGGTTTTTTTCTTTGGGCTTCAAACCTGTATCTGTGCGATTTTTTCGACAGACTTTCATGTTTCTAGCTCTTTCTTTTTTTAAATTCTTTTTTATCGTTCGAGATTGATTTGATTATTGGCAAATGAAAAATCCTAAGGTTTTTCGAAACGAATATAGTTATATATATATATATATATATATATATATATATATATATATATATATATATGAGATAAGATAATCCTAATGAGCCAGGCAAAGCTACCTAGGTTTCACCTAAACTGATCTTCAAAGAGCTGCCTGCTGAAAAGAAAAATTATGGAACAGTATTTATTGCTAAAACCAA